CGTAAGCTCTCGGGGGCGGTGGGGCACTCGGGGCGGGGCGCGCGAGTTGCCGCGAATATATTTTCGTTCATTTTTTGCGCACCTTTCCAAACACATTTTCATTGTTTTTATGTGCCAATCCAATGTATAATGAACACGTACACTATAATATCGCAGTACAACATCCGTACTGTCCGTAGACACTGTGTTACGTGCATGAAACTTGTGTACACATATGCAGCACATATTTACTATGTATCATGCTAATTTGTGTATATATACAATCTATTTACACACTATACACTGTCACACACTATATACATTCACTATCAACACATTCAGAACAGCGCGTAGCAGCTGCTTCGTATGGGCCAATATCAGCTGCCTCGTATGGGCCAATAGCAGCTGCCTCGTATGGGCCAATATCAGCTGCCTCACATGGGCCAATAGCAGCTACCTCGTATAGGCCATTATCAGCTGCCTCATATGGGCCAATAGCAGCTGCCTCGTATGGGCCAATATCAGCTGCCTCGCATGGGCCAATATCAGCTGCCTCGCATGGGCCAATAGCAGCTGCCCCATATGGTCCAATAGCAGCTACCCCGTATGGGCCAATAGCAGCTGCCTCATATGGGCCAATAACAGCTGCCGCGTATGGGCCAATAGCAGCTGCCTCGTATGGGCCAACAGCAGCTGCCTCGTATGGGCCAACAGCAGCTGCCTCGTATGGGCCAACAGCAGCTGCCTCGTATGGGCCAACAGCAGCTGCCTCGTATAGGCCAACAGCAGCTGCCTCGTATGGGCCAACAGCAGCTGCCTCGTATGGGCCAACAGCAGCTGCCTCGTATGGGCCAACAGCAGCTGCCTCGTATGGGCCAACAGCAGCTGCCTCGTATGGGCCAACAGCAGCTGCCTCGTATGGGCCAATAGCAGCTGCCTCGTATGGGCCAATAGCAGCTGCCTCGTATGGGCCAACAGGAGCATTTGGCCATGAACACATTCAGAACCCCTCGAGTGAGAGCAGCCACACCCAGCCTGTCTCCCTCACTCCAACATCTTACTCGCCAACATTGCTCCTCCCACCATATTGTTATAGTTCTTATTACACATGTTCTATATACCTATCTACATGTTTTATTTACCAGAACTATGTAAGTAAGCCGGTATTGTGTCCAAACAGTACAGTGGCCACCATACACTGCATGAAAAATCACACAGCAGACGACGCTACGATTACGTCACCTCCCTCACCAAAGTAGCTCCTCTCAACATTCTCCTGTTGCTGTTCTTTCACTATATACACACACTATATATACCCATGTACATATGTGTTGCCCATAGCGAACCACTAAGCTAGTATGGTGAGCAAAACAAGAGTGGCAGCCACACACACAATGAGGCTACCTCAATTCTCGCCCTCCCTCCCTCATCAAAATTCCTCCTTTCACAATACTACGCACAACGCTAATTATAACCACATTCCTGCTATTATCACAATCCTGGTCACTAATTCCTGTAAATGAATAATTGACCACACGTTTATTTTGAAAAGGAACGTAAGAACGTATTTGAAGATTCCTAGATGAACGAAATAATGCTGTGGTGCTGTGGCTAGCGCTGTGAACATCGTGAACAGCATTGAATCACTGACATTTGAACATTGTACCCAGTCATTATCACACTCAGGCTCTAATATAACACTATCATAGCTAAATAATACAAGTTATATATATATTTTGACATTATTAGGCGATGCTGTGGTCACATGCTGAACAGCAGTGCTGTGCGCTCATGCTGCGAGCGCCAGCCTTGGTTGCTCACACACTACTGAGGCTCCCACACCCGGGAATGTGGACCACGATTTTTTTTAAAGATGGCGTCTGTTTACAAGAGCCCTGAGGAAGCTGATGTGAACCCCATGTAGCCGCGGGAGTTTTGAATGGATCGTGAAAAATACAAATACCCGGAGGCGCGTTGCGCAAACCAGACGTGAGCCTGCAGGCGCGTTGCGCAGTTTAAGGGTTAAACTTTAGGTCGTCAGACATTATTATTTCCAAATCCTTTACATGCTGTTTTCCTACTATGGGTACATTTGATTGTGTTTTGTACTCTGTATTATGTTTAAGGTCCTCATTTTTACCGTACCTGAGTACCTGGAATTTATCACTGTTAAACATCATGTTATTTTCTGACGCCCAGTCGAAAACTTTATTAATATCAGCTTGAAGTTTTTCAGTGTCTTCAGCCGAGATAATTTTCATACTGATTTTTGTGTCATCTGCAAAGGATGATACGAAGCTGTGACTTGTATTTTTGTCTATATCTGATATGAGAATAAGGAAAAGCAGCGGTGCAAGGACTGTACCCTGAGGTACAGAGCTTTTAACTGCACTTGGACTAGATTTTATATGGTTGACCGTTACTCGCGAGTCCTGTTTGACAGAAAACTGAGTATCCAGCGTCCTACTTTACCAGTTATTCCCATTGACTTCATTTTGTGTGCTATCACGCCATGGTCACATTTATCGAAAGCCTTTGCGAAGTCCTTGTGTATCACATCAGCATTCTGTTTTTCTTCTAATGCCTCAGTGACTTTGTCGTAGTGCTCAAGTAGCTGTGAGAGGCACGATCTTCCCGCTCGAAATCCATGTTGGCCTGGGTTGTGAAGGTCATTGGTCTCCATGAAATTGGTGACCTGACTCCTAATCACTCTCTCAAATACTTTTATGATGTGCAATGCTAGTGCAACTGGTCTATAATTCTTTGCCAATGCTTTGCTCCCTCCCTTGTGTAGAGGGGCTATGTCTGCTACTTTAAGTGCATCTATATCTCCCCCATGTCCAAGCTCTTCCTCCACACTATACTGAGTGCCTGTGCTACCGGCACTTTGCATTTCTTTATAAATATTGAATTCCATGAGTCTGGACCTGGGGTCGAGTGCATGGACATGTTTTCAATTTCCCTTTCAAAATTTATTGCGCTCGTGTTGATATCAGTTATATTTACAGAGGTTTGAATATCCCGAATAAAGAAATTGTCTGGATCTTCCACTTTCATGTTGTTTATTGGAGTGCTAAACATGTCCTCATACTGCTTTTTTAGGATTTCACTAATTTCTTTGTCATCCTCCGTGTATGAACCTTCACTTGTACGAATAGGTCCATGTCCAAAAGACAGTGGTTTTTGCAGTGGTTTTTGCTTTTGATTTCGCATATGTGAAGAAATATTTTGGATTTTTCTTTATTTCCTGAATTGCTTTCTGTTCAAACTGCCTTTCTTCAGTTTCATATGAGTGTTTCAATTTCCGCTCGATTTCTTCAATCTCCCTATTTAAATTATTCCTTCTTTGATGGGAAATTCGTGTCTGCATAAGCATTTCCATTATTTTTTTCCTGCGTTTATAGTGTCGTCTGCATTCTCTTTCTACGTTGGATCTCTTTCTGGCTTTCCTCAAAGGAACATGTTTCAGACAGACTTGATACGCTTCCGAAGTCAGTTTTTCTATTCCTTCTGTAGGACTTGTATTACTTAGAACAGTTTCCCATGGAATGTTTGTAAGTTCCCTGTTTATTATCTCCCAGTCTATCCTTTTATTATTAAAATTGAATTTACTGAATAGCCCCTCTCGCATTATCAACGTTTTAGGTCTATTCTGAGTATTGATGGTCGTTTGCACTTCAATGAGCTTGTGATCTGAGTATGTGGTATCTGATATCGTAATGTCTCTGATAATGTCTTCATTGTTCGTAAAGACCAGATCTAAAATATTTTAATTTCTCGTTGGCTCCGATATCTGCTGATTGAGTGAAAATTTGTCACAGAATCCAAGTGGTGCTAGTTTCTCGTCGTTTGTGTCGGCACTGGTGGGTTCCTTATTGGTCTCCCACCTGTGTGTTTCATCTCGGGGTGGTGTGTGGTTTTCCTGGCGGTCCTTCCGGTTTTCCTATCACTGCGAAGGGTCCTTCGGTCTTTGATAGGGTTGGCTTGTCTTCCCTTCGGGGTTGTTCTGGGTCCGTCGTCTGGGCTGGTGTCCTGTCACCTCGTATTGGGTGGTGCTGGCGGAGCGGCTCCTGCTTTTGTTCAGTGTTGGGGTTCCTTCTGCTCCATTCCACTTGCTGTCCTGGGTGTTGTTCCCCTCTGGCCTGCTCTTGAGTTCTGGTGCCGTCCTGGTAGTTGGCCGCGGTGGTCTATTTTCTTCTCGTTTTGGTCTTTGTGTTGTCTGTGGTCTTGGTTTTTACGTTAGGGCGCGTGGCATCCGCCTCCCGGTTCCTTCCCTGTTTTCCTTATTTGTGGTGAGGTAGCTCCGGGGAGCCGACGGGGCTTTCCCCAGAAAACCAGTGTTGAATGTAATGAAACGCCATTTTCTGGGTGAGTCCCGGAGGCTCCCCGGCATCCCTCCCTCCCTCTGGTCGGCGGCGTTTTTCGCGTATTTTGGCATCCAGCCTAAGAACTGCCAGTTGGATCGCCAGCGTGGAGGGTCTGGGGCACCCCCTCCCCCCTCCCGGGGAGGGGGGGTTGCACAGATGGTGGTGCAGCGACGTGATGACGTCATGCTAGTTAGATAATTTTGTTTGGGGAGTTCTGTCCACTCGTTCGGCTTTCGGTAGCAATATTTTTACAAGAATAGGGGTTTGTTTTGGGGCGCCTACCTTTCTGGGTGCCTATCCCGGTCGATGGCAGACATAGAATGCTCCCGACCACAAGGGGGTTTCTATAGGCCATTGCTTCTCATGCCTCTCTGAGGGGCCAGGTTCTGGCTCGTGGTCCCCAGTAGGTAAGAACTCCTAGCAATTTGACTGATGCCAGAAAGTTATACATATCCATTCAGCCTGGATAGCTCCGGGGAGCCTCCGGGACTTACCCAGAAAATGGCGTTTCATTACATTCAACGCTGGTTTTTTGGTACCTTTTGTCACATACAATATATACACATGTTTATGAACACAATTTCCCACCCTTTCCTTTTCTTATACACTTAGTCGTTCTAAGATTTTAATACATTGTTCAATTTTGTCTCCTAGATGTGTGTCATCGAGGGTTCGGGCTACGAAGTTCCTTACAAACTCATCTCGCTACTCATGCCACTAACAAGCCCTTCACCTGTGATATTTGTGGCCAGTCCTTTGCTCTCAAGTTTACTCGAGACACTCACAAAGCCCAGCACACAGGTACATAATATGGATCTGAATTTTTTAATTTGCATGCATTTGCAGAATTTGCTTCATCTGCAATAATGCAAACCTACACTTTCATCCACAGTAATGCAAGCTTACACCTTCATCTACAATGATGTAAGCTTGCACTTTCATTCACAATAATGAACTAAAAGTGCAAGCTTACACCTTCATCCACAATGATGTAAGCGTACTCCTTCATCTACAATGATGTAAGCTTACACCTTCATCCACAATGATGTAAGCTTACACCTTCATCTACAATGATGTAAGCTTACACCTTCATCCACAATGATGTAAGCTTACACCTTCATCCACAATGATGTAAGCTTGCACCTTCATCCACAATGATGTAAGCGTACACCTTCATCCACAATGATGTAAGCGTACACCTTCATCCACAATGATGTAAGCGTACACCTTCATCCACAATGATGTAAGCTTACACCTTCATCCACAATGATGTAAGCTTGCACCTTCATCCACAATGATGTAAGCTTACATCTTCAGCACAGTGATACAAGCCACAATGGGGAAGAAATAGACCTCCGGCCAACAGGTTAAGACTCCTGAGGACCCAGTGTATACCCCCACTGAGGCCTCCACCAGCCCACAAGGAGGAGGAGTGCTCCTTCACTACAGGCCTTCAATTCAGGGCAAAATTAACCCACCAATACTATAACAGTATAGGGGTGGAGAGGTGGGACTGCAGATGACATTTTTAAATGCTGCCTCCATCCCCTAGCTTTACTGGTGAAAGGGGCTTTCAACATTGGAGTCAGACAAGCATGTGTGAAAGTGTCGTAAACCAAAGGTAGAGGTCAAAACAGCCCAAAGGAATGCCGTCGGCAGTTAAAACAGGACTACATTGACAACTAACATGAAGCGAGAAAGGGCCCCCTGGGAAAGAACATTTATCCTCCCAAGAGCAAAACCACACAACTGTGTGGTCATTGAAGAGCAGATGGGTTATTATTTTGTAAAATTACAAAGTGATGCTATTTAGAAAATATATCTCACTCTATACTATAAATGTAAATTACTAAAAAAAAGAACGAAAAGACTTATGTTTGTTTATTACAGGTAATTTAAGTATTGTGTAAAGTACTTTATTTTATAATTTTAGAGATAGCACATAGATGTACTGTATTGCATTACCGAGCCTAGATAGCAGTTGTCTATGGTAGGAGAGATAATGGGATTATATCCTCACTACAAAGTTTAAGCAGTTAAGGAACTACAAAACTTAACCAGGATATACATATGAACTCTACTGTTGAGTTGGGTTATTGCTATTGTGACGTTTAAGTGAAAGAATAAAGCAGTGGCTATTTTGGCTGGTGGAATGCCAATCACATTAAATAAAAAAAAGTAAAACAAAAGTATCCACTCAATTTAACGGCCTCTTTCATACTGATCTGCCGGTAATAACGACCGGTTTTGGAGACCGGTATCTAGAGCCTCATGTACCGGTCTGGCGGTCGATATTACTGAAGTTGGGTATTATTGAGTTGAAGTATTATTGGGTTTGTTTTGGCATCAGGGGGTCCTCACATGGTAAGCACCCTGCCTACCTCTTTCATCCTCTCCCTCACCCTCACTGCACCTCTCCCCCACTCCCTCACTTTCTGCTCCCCCCCCCCCAAGACCGTTCTGGGAAATGGCTCAGTAGATTGCCAGCCAGCTAGAGACAGCCTGGAGAATCTCCATCTAATACAATAAAGCATTCATGAAACAAGTATTTATAACTTTTTATTATCCTAATAATATTACTAAACAAAATCTGTAACCAAAAATATATATGATCTTATCTTGAGGTTATCTTGAGATGAATTCGGGGCTTTAGTGTCCCCGCGGCCCGGTTCTCGACCAGGCCTCCACCCCCAGGAAGCAGCCTGTGACAGCTGACTAACACCCAGGTACCTATTTTACTGCTAGGTAACAGGGGCATAGGGTGAAAGAAACTCTGCCCATTGTTTCTCGCCGGCGCTCGGGATCGAACCCAGGACCACAGGATCACAAGTCCAGCGTGCTGTCCATTCGGCCGACCGGCTCCTTACAGAGATAGGGCTTGTGCACGAGATCGGTGCACTGTGCACTGCAATGAGCATCCAAAATTTAAAAAACAAATCTGGTTAACTGGGTCAAGTGTGTTAGGCTTATCAGAGTGAGCCGGTCCCTTCCCCACCACCGACACACCTCCCCCATCTGCCCCCCTCCCCTACATCCCATACACACTCTCTCTCCCTCTCTCTCTCTGCTTCACCTCAAATCAACACCCATCCCTCCCTCCCTTCCTCCCTCCCTCCCTCCCTCCCTCTCTCTCCCCTCCCTCCCTCTCTCTCTCCCTCTCTCTCCCTCCCTCCCATCCCTCCCTTCCTCCCTCCCTCCCTTCCTCCCTCCCATCCCTCCCTCCCTCCCACCCATCCCTCCCTCCCTCCCTCTCATCCCTCCCTCCCATCCCTCCCTCCCTCCCATCCCTCCCTCCCTCCCTCCCCTCCCTCCTTCCCCTCCCTCCTTCCCTCCCATCCCTCCCCTCCCATCCCTCCCTCCCTCCCTCCCTCCCTCCCTCCCTCCCTCCCTCCATCCATCCATCCATCCATCCATCCATCCATCCATCCATCCATCCATCCCTCCCTCCCTCCCTCCCTCCCTCCCTCCCTCCATCCATCCATCCATCCATCCATCCATCCATCCATCCATCCATCCATCCCTCCTTCCCTCCTTCCCTCCATCCATCCATCCATCCATCCCTCCATCCATCCCTCCCTCCCTCCCTCCCTCCCTCCCTCCCTCCCTCCCTCCCTCCCTCCCTCCCCTCCCCTCCCCTCCCCTCCATTCATCCATCCATTCCTCCCTCCTTCCATCCATCCATCCCTCCCTCCATCCATCCATCCATCCATCCATCCATCCATCCATCCATCCATTCCTCCCTCCCTCTCTCCCTCCCTCCCTCCCTCCCTCCCTCCCTCCCTCCCTCCCTCCTCAATCCATCCATCCTTCCTTCCGTCCATCCATCCATCCATCCATACATCCAACAATAGCACACAAAAATGAGGTCAATGGGAATAACTGGAAAAGTAGGACGCTATCACAAAATGAGGTCAATCGCTATTCCCATAGCACACAAAATGAGATCAATGGGAATAACTGGAAAAGTAGGACGCTGGATACTCAATTTCCTGTTGAACAGAACACAAAGAGTAACAGTCAATCAAATATAATCGAGTCCAGGCAAAGTTAAAAGCTCTGTACCTCAAGGTACAGTCTTTGCACCGCTACTGTTCCTTATTCTCATATCAGATATAGACAAAAATACACGTTACAGCTTCGTGTCATCCTTCGCAGATGACACAAAATCAGCATGAAAATTACCTCTGCTGAAGACATTGAAAAATTACAAGCAGATGTCAACAAAGTTTTTGATTGGGCAGCAGAAAATAACATGATGTTTAACAGTGATAAGTTTCAGGTACTCAGGTATGGCAAAAATAAGGATCTGAAACATAATACAGGGTACAAAACACAATCGAATCTTCCCATAGTAGAAAAACAGCATGTCAAGGATTTGGGAATAATGATGTCCGATGATCTAACGTCTAGGGAGCATAACCAAGCAAATATTGCGTCAGCCAGAAAAATGATAGGATGGATTACGAGAACTTTCAAATCCAGGGATCCCATCACAATGGTTGTACTGTTCAAGTCACTTGTGTTGTCCCGTCTCGAGTACTGCCCAGTACTCACTTCCCCCTTCAGAGAAGGAGAGATTGCTGAAATAGAGGGAATACAGAGAATATATACGGCACGCATAGATGAGATAAAACACCTAAATTATTGGGATTGTCTCAAAGCTCTCCAAATGTGCTTTCTAGAAAGGAGACGAGAGAGATACCAAATCATATACACATGGAAAATACTGGAGGGCCAGGTCCCAAATGTACACAGTAAAATAACAACATACTGGAGTGAACGATATGGAAGAAAATGTAAAATTGAACCAGTGAAGAGCAGAGGTGTCATAGGCACAATCAGAGAACACTGTATAAACATCAGAGGTCCGCGGTTGTTCAACGTCCTCTCAGCGACTTTAAGAAATGTTGCTGGAACAACCGTGCACATCTTCAAGAGAAAACTGACTGTTTTCTAAGAGAAGTTCCGGATCAGCCGGGCTGTGGTGGGTATGTGGGCCTGCGGGCCGCTCCAAGCAACAGCCTGATGGACCGAACTCTCACAAGTCGAACCTGGCCTCGGGCCGGGCTTGGGGAGTAGAAGAACTCCTAGAACCCCATCAAGCAGGTATCAATCCATCCATCCCTCCATCCATCTCCATCCTCTCCCTCCCTGCCTACCTCCCAGCCTCTGCCTGCCTGCCTCCCTCCTTGCCTGCCTGCCTCCTTCCCTGCCTCCCTCCCTCCCTACCTCCCAGCCTCTGCCTGCCTGCCTCCCTCCCTCCCTGCCTCTCCCTCCCTGCCTCCCTCCCAAACTCTGCCTGCCTGCCTCCCTCCCAGCCTCTTCCTGCCTACATTTTAGCCTCTCCATCCCTGTCTGCCTGCCCATCCACCCATCAGCCATCACTGACACAATGAGTGCATTTGGAGCCGACATGGTGCACGGATGTTCCTTGATTACGCAGATATGTCCAACAAACCAGCATTGAATGTAATGAAACGCCATTTTCTGGGTGAGTCCCGGAGGCTCCCTGGAGCTTACTAGGCTGATATGCTAATGTCAGACTTTGGCATCAGTCATGTGTATGGAGTTCTTATGGGCCTACCGGGGACCACGAGCCAGAACCTGGCCCCCTCTAGAGAGGCAAGGAAAGCAATGGCCTATAGAAACCCCCGTGTGGTTGGAAGCATTCTATGTCTGTCATCGACCGGGTTAGGCACCCAGAAAGGTAAGCGTCCCCCAAAAAAACATTATTCTGGTGAAAATTGCAACCAAAAGCCGAACGAGTGGATAGAACTCCATAACCGAAAACGAAGAAACTA